TGAAGGCTTTTACAGAAGGGTTTGTTCATATATAATTCATAGCCTGAATTATACAACATTGTATACCTAAAAACATGGCGAAAATGGATATTTTAGGGCTGTTGACAGTATTTTCTGATTTATGGAGTGATAAAAAGAGATATCCAATATCCCTTCTGTAAAAGCCTTAGATACTAATATGACTACAAAATGAAACAAGAATTTTGAATCTGGCTATATCCAAAGTTCAAATTTAGATTCCTGAAATGTGTTAAAATATGTGCATATTTAATGAGATAATGGATAATTTGCATATTTAAGCATGCTATTTCAGAAAACTTGTAATACAAAAGACAATTGCCTTATTGTAAGTAATTAACTGGAGAAATGTCTAGCTGATACCTTTAAGTTAAAAAAATTACCCTATTCACCTGGGGTGTCTCGCCTTAAATACATTATCAGTAAGATTTGTTGTGACAAGCTGTGGCTGACATGGAATCACTGCTAAATTTGATAACATTTGATAAAACATTTGAGCACTTCCTGTTTCTAAGCTGATTCACCGCTCTTAATCTATTACACAGATATTGGCAAAGCTACAGGCAGGCAGGGCCCCGGCATGTCCTGGAAATAGTTGAGAGTGCCATATGCCCTTGAGCCTGGACCCAGCACATATCAGTTAGTGTGTTGGGTTTTGTACACACACATCCTTATCACGGTGATGAAGACGGGGGAGATGGTGCGCGTGCTTCGGTGATTTTGGTGGGCGTCGTTGAAGGGCGGGGGTAAAGGACATGCTTTCTTGAAGGGGGGGAGGTGGTTGACATAGGCAGGCTTCGGAGACCGCAGATGCCAGGGGGGGGGAGGTGGTTGACGTAGGCACGGTGATGAAGGGGGGGGAGGTGGTGGGGAGGTCTCTGCTTCGGTGATTTTGATGCTGCCAGCCCTGCGTATCGCCTTAGTTTGGTCATTGAACTCCAGGAAGGAATTGGTGCCAACCCTCTGTATCTCCTTCATGTGTTCAGCGATCTCCAGGAGGGTGGGCGAGGGTGAAAGGGTGAACGGAGAGTAGAAAGAGCTGTGGGGTGAAGGAAGAGTATCCTCAGAGGTGATAGGGGGGGTGAAGGGTGGTGGAGACTTCTCCATTTGTCTCCCATAATCAAGATCTTTCAAGGTTTTCTGAGCGATGTGTTTTGTCTTTCTCTTGTTTTGATTCCTCGTGTTGCTTGTCCTTGGCAGAGGGAACAGATTGATGACACAGGCAGTTGAATATGTTAGAGATAAATAATTTCACTCCTGACTTGTTCAGGCAAACTCAATTTTCCTTAAAAAGATGTCTGCGGTCCCAGAAAAAGTTAAAGTTGTCAATAAAATGGACAGAATGGTCAGTACAGGCAGTTGAAAGCCAGGTGCTCAGTGCAAACAATCTGCTGAATCTCTCCACTCCTCTTCTGACTGGCGGTAGAGGGCCACTGACGAACATCTCCGCATTTAGAGAGCTGACAGTTTCCAACAGACATTTAAAATCTTTTTTCAGCACTTCTGACTGTTGTTTCACAACATAATTTGTTCCAATGTGCAGTACCACATTCTTCACAGTCGGATGTTCAGCCCCAATATGCAGGATCTTCTCAGCCAAGTCAGAGACCATATCCTTGGAAAAAAAGAGTACTTTGGTGTTGTTCTTATGGCGCGTTTCCACTACACGGTTTCCACTACACGGCTTCCTTTCTACCGCCCGGACGAGAGAGGGTAATGATACACGCTGCGGCCAGGCAGGAAACATGTGACTTAAAAATAAAAAATAAATTAAATTTGTTTTATTTTTTTTTATTATTATTTAAAAAAAATTTGGAATGACAATCAAACATGTGGGAAGAGGGGGGCGGGGCCCCTATGGGCCGGCCGCCACTGCCTGAGGCATTACCAACAGATCAACGCACAATCAACCCATACAGGACATCTCTCTCTCCACATTAAGTGTTATCCAATCCAATCCATTTTATTTCTCTAGCACATTTAAAAACAACAGAGTTGAACAAAGTGCTGTACATCAATAACTGTATAAAAACATAGCATAAATACTAGGGATGCACGATATTGGTTTTTTGAAACCGATACCGATAACTTCCTGCTTCTCAAGACCGATACCGATAACCGATAATAATATAATATATATATATATATTAAATGTACCTGTAGTTTTTGCACACCTGGTGGTAAAAAAAAGACTAGTAGTGAGCAAATGACATGAGCATTACTACTATGAACAAAACAAAGCCAAGAACAGTTTTTACTCTCGTCAAGCGCCATCATTTCTATGATGAAGTTAGAGATCGTTTTAGCCCTGGGGTCGTCTCTGGCAAACTTCTTGCCTTTTTCAAAAGCCTCGTCGATAGGTAAAAGTCCCGGTGCCTTTGCAGCTGGCTTTGGATTCGCCGCTAGTTTAGCAGCGCAGGCATCTTCGTACGCTTTTAACACACTATCGTAGCGATGGCGATGTTTCAGGTGACTAATCAGGTTGGAAGTATTATAGCTCGTTGCCTTTTTCCCTCCTCGTGGAACTTCTGCATTGCATTTGTTAATACAAATAGCAAGCGAACTATCTAACTCTGAAACTTTGAAATAGTCCCATAATACCGGTGACATGTTTGTTTACTGTCCTGGCTTCACGGCCGCACACCATTTACGTCACAGCCAGGGAGGAGTTAGGGACTGCTGGATTTGTGAAAAACTCCCCTCTTCCTAAACCACTAATACCACAGTACTGGCAAAACGGGAGGAGCCGAGTGAAAAACAAGCGCCCCTCATCCCAATCCACCCACACCGCAGTATTTTTTTCTTTTTTTTAACCCAAAAAATATATTGTATATTATCGGGGCTATTAATAATGTTATCGGGTTTATCGGGATGTGTGAGGTATCTATATTACTTTGTAAGGATAAAACCCCAGCTCGGTTCAATATACCAGATCCAGTGAACAGAGATAACAGTACTCGAGTTTCAAGTTTACTTGCTGCAAGGAGAATCGGCGAGTGACATGCAATGTCCACTCCTTAACCAACTCTGCTCGCCTTCTCTCAGTGCATTCTTTTTATTTCAACAATACAGTAACATGACAATCATGTGGTGTTGACCAACGCCTTATTTGTTAGTGTGAATCTTGTGACTCTCAGTCATGTGAATCTGTGTGTGTGTGTATGTGTGCCATTTGAACAGACTGTTCTCTGTTCCCCCATTAACACATTTATGAGAATACATTATGAAAACACATTTATCCTTCAATAAACTCTAACATTCCCTCCTGTTTTTCATAATTACTAGCTGGTTACAATGTCTTTATTACTTTCAGAATTAATTCACTTGTTTTTGACATTTTCGAACCATTCGTCATATGACAGACAGTAACCTAGCTTTAAGTCTTACACATTGGAGGTTAGGTGAGTATATTCGTCCTTCTGAGAGGGGTCTGTGTCATATAGTCACCGTTATCTGTCTGTTACAACATCGTTGAGTAGTGACCATTTTTTCTCTCGATGGACTTCTTCTTTTGTTGAGGATTCCTCACTCAATTGTCTTATAGTCATTAGCGTCAGACCCAGCAGGGTCACTACATACAACACCTTTCCCAACATAGTCTATTTGTGATAGTGGTTCTGTTGTTTTCTTCACCGGGGTTGAGACCAGTATTTCCTAATGAAACACCGCCCTTTGTAGCCGGACTTCCACCACTTATCCGTCGTTAAGTTGGAGAGGTATTATCTTTTTGCAGTGGCTCTGATGTATCCACGTAGTTCTTTCGGCGATTTTTAGTGCAGTCGGTGTTGTCAGCAGTACCGTGTAGGGACCGTCCCACCGTGGACAGTGCCAATGCTTCCTCTTAATCACCTTCACGAGGACCTGGTCACCAGTCTGCACTCGAGTATCCTGTAAGGGAGTAGAAATGTCTGGCAAGTTATTTGTTCGAGCTATCTCATTGCTTCTGAAGAGTCTGCTCATCCATTCAGTTAATGTAGTCTCTGCCTCAGCATCATCCTCCTCCCTCACCTCGTCTGTGATTGGTAGTCTGAATTGCCTTCCTGTTATGATCTCAAAGGGAGACAACCCTTTTGCCGTGGGCGTGATTCTCATGCATGTTTCTACTAGAGACACACATTCCACCCATGGTCTTCCTGTTTCCTCCATTGTTTTCCTTAGTCTTAACTTTACTGTTCCGTTTGTTCTTTCCACTAAGCCTGCACTCTGTGGATGATATGCACAATGGTTTTTTAATGTTATCCCCATATGTTCGGACAGTTTGGTAATAACCTGATTTACAAAATGGGAACCATTATCACTGTACAGTTTCTCTGGAATACCTCTGTTTGGTATTATTGTCTTGCATATGGCTTTTGCTACGGTAATAGCGTCTGCATGTTTTGCTGGGAATATTTCAACCCACTTTGAAAACGGACATATCATTACCAAACAGTATTTGTACCCTTGGCATGGTGTTAGTTCGATGAAGTCCATATGCATGTGTTGAAACGGGTATGTTGGTGGAGGGAACTTTCCTCTCTGTGGTCGCTCATTGCCTTGAGCATTGTGTCTGCAACATACTACACAGGCTCTACAAAAGTTTTTAGAAAATGTAATGTAGTTGTATGTATGGAAGTGTTCATTTATTATTGTCACCATCCCTCCTGTTGAGACATGGCACGGCCCATGACTCAAATGAGCTGCTGTTTTATAGAGACTAACAAGCAGTACTATCTTGTTGTTTATTCTGAATGTTCCATCAGGGTCTGTGGTTAGTTTTTGGTCTAACATGTATAGGTTTTGCGTTCACCATGCGACCTACATCACATTTTCCTTGTGACCATACGCATGGCGGCACCGTTTTCAGAACCTCTAAGGCCACTTCACTTAGCATACATCATTGTTGTTCAGGGTCGTCTAGGTGGGCGCGTGGTGTCATCACTAGGGTAAACCCTAGAGTTTTGCGCTTTAACCCGCCTCCAGTTTGCCAACCGTTTTTTGTCATCTGTCCATTTTGTTATCCTGTTACCTCTAGCCACTAATAAACCTAAGTCTCTCCATGAAGTCCCTGGGCCCCTAGCTACTGATATGTGTGGCGTGGAACCTGGTTCCATTATCAAGGCAGTGGTTGATGGGACCCTAGCGTCAATTGCAACATCCCCGTGTTGGTTTGCATACATAGAGTGGAACACTGCCCTCTGTGGTGTCAGTCGATGCACGAGCACATCATAGTCTTTGTCTGGGCCAGGGGTGTTCTTGTACTTTAGTGTAACGTGCAATGCGTCAGGTTTCATTACTTCTTGGCCATGTTGTGGGGTGAATAGTGTTAACAGGTGTTCACCTGTGTTTGTCACGTCAGGTTGTGGCATGTCTAGTGACCAGTAGTAGTTGGGGGTGTTTATGGATTTTTGAAGGAAGACCTGGTCTTCCACCTTTTCTCCGGGCCCTACTGCTCGCATTCCCCCTTTGACTGGTACTACACTGATTTTTAACATTTCCATGCCGTCTCTCCCTAGCAAATTGACAGGGCAGTTTGAGATGAACACAAATTTGAGGGATGCCTGGAGGCCTGACCTTCTATCTTCCATAAAAAGTGGCTTTGAAATCGACCTCTGATTTATGTGTCCATTTGCTGATTTTACAAACATAGTGCCAGTTGGTGGCCACATTCTTTGGACCTCTTTGTTCACTACTGATGAGTCTGCACCGCTGTCACATAAGAATTCTAATTTTTCCCCATTGATTTCGATTGTCCTGGTCGGTTTAATACTGTTGTCTGACAGATTCAGTAATACTTCAGAAAGGTCAATGTGATGTGTGTGGACGTCCTCTTCTTCCTTTTCTACGTCTAGTCAGTTGTCATAACTATGTAGGTTATGTGAAGGGGGGGGGGCCATGTCTTTCGTCTTTGTACTGTCCCTTTTGTCCCCCTTCTTTGTTCTGTGGTCTCTGTTCCTCACAGTCTCTCGCCATGTGCCCCTCCTTTCCGCACCTGAAGCAGAGGAATTTGCCTTCTGCGTTTCTGCCTCCTCCTCTGCCTCTGCCTGTTCCTCTACAATTCCCTCGTCCTCTGTTAAACCCGCCTCTCCCCTGTCCTGGTCCCACAAAGAAAATCTGATTTTCTTCCCCATCTTCTCCTATGAAGAAAGCTGATGCTGACGCTTTCTTATGTCTTTTTTCTTTGATCTGGGTTGCTGCATGTTCTGCATAATTTAGGCACTCTTGTAAGTCGCATGTCCTATGGTTAACATTATGCTTGCGGATAAAGTCAGCAATACCTGGGTGGAACCCATTCATCAGGCTTTGTTTCAGCTGCTGCACATATGGGGAGTCAACAGCATTGTTGGGTGGAATTCCGCTATGGATACGGAAACAATCTTCCATTCTGATTCTGAAATCTTGTACTGACTCTTTTTCTCCCTGTCTACACCCTGAGACTTTAGTAAAGTCTCGTCTCAGTGCAAAAACCCTCTCGATTGAGATATTTACGGGAGCGAGTGCATTGATGAGGTCCTGCTGACCTGGTTCCAGGGGGTTTCCATTGGGCCAGGACCCGGTGAAATCTCCCTTTACCCTGGCCCATTCGTGGCCAAAGATTGTCATAAGGGTTCTTAAAACTTCATGTCCATTTAAACCATATGACGCTATTAATGCAGTATGGTCAAGGACAAACTGCGCCGGGTCCTATTTGTATGGAGTCAGTCCCTCACAAGCCTTTTTACACTCATCCATTGTCCATGGGCGGAACACTCTTAACATTCTTTCTAGGTCACCGCCAACTCCATAGTGCGGGTTGGCCACTTGTACTAATGGATAAGTGTCACCCTGATATGCTGTTCCGTCGAAGGATTGTTCTGCTTCTCTTAATTCTTCAACAGGATATAACTTGGTTTCCCCCTTATTTTTTCTGGTGTGCAGTGGGCTTAATGCATCTGCCATTTCTTTGTCGATGCGTTTTTGTGTCTCTCTTTCCCTGTCTTTTCTCTCTTTCTCTTGCTTCCTTTTTATTCTTTGTTCCTGCGCTTTGTGTTCTTCCACTATCGCTCTCTCTTTCTCGCGGCGTACAGCGTCAACTGACCCTGAACGCCCTGTCTCCTCGTCTGCTTTCACTGAAACAGCCGCTGCTATCATACCTTCTTCTGCTCCACCTGTCCTTTTATGGGCTTGTTCAGCCCATAAAGCTGCAACCCGCAGTTGAGCTTCTAACTTCTTTCTTTTCTTGCCTTGTGTTGTTCCAGCTGTTGCTGCTCTCAATTTGTCGCTTAATTCTCTTACTGCTGTTTTCTCCAGCTTTCCTTGGAAGCCGTACAGTTTATACCATTTGCTACAATAAATGGTGCTGCCATGACTATATATTTCCATATATCTCATGTCCCTTGTAGCGGCAGGCTTACTCCCATTGGACCCCATGATTCTAGCTTGGTGTTCCTACTGGACAACGTGCCGGTCAGAACCTAATTCCTAATTCACCACTACGTGTACTTCAACAGACCACAGAGTTTGTGTTATCACCGTTAGGTTTCCACTCCGTGCGCTGATTCCACTGGTGACACTTTTACACACCGCTTTCACTCAATCACTCATAAGTGTACCCAAAGGCACGTCGATCCTCCTTCTAGGCGGAGTAGCCTTTCTCTTTCAACGTTTTATCAACCTCCTTAATGGCGGAGTAACCGTGTATATCAACGTTTTATCATCCTCCTTAATGGCGGAGTAACCGTGTATATCAACGTTTTATCTTACCCGTTATCTGTGGTCACTGGTCCGGTTGGATTCCGTCAATCGTGCCTAGGATGAGGGAGGTTGGACATATAAGCACCGGCCCGGCCACGAATTCTGCGTCCCGGGTCTTTCTCGGGGTCGGCTGATGATCCCGGCTGTCGACAGACTGCGGCGTGTCTTTTCCCTCCTCCTTCCCGTCACGATGTATTGGAATCCGGCTCGAAGGACCAATTAATGTGAGGTATCTATATTACTTTGTAAGGGTAAAACCCCAGCTCGGTTCAATATACCAGATCCAGTGAACAGAGATAACAGTACTCGAGTTTCAAGTTTACTTGCTGCAAGGAGAATCGGCGAGTGACATGCAATGTCCACTCCTTAACCAACTCTGCTCGCCTTCTCTCAGTGCATTCTTTTTATTTCAACAATACAGTAACATGACAATCATGTGGTGTTGACCAACGCCTTATTTGTTAGTGTGAATCTTGTGACTCTCAGTCATGTGAATCTGTGTGTGTGTGTATGTGTGCCATTTGAACAGACTGTTCTCTGTTCCTCCATTAACACATTTATGAGAATACATTATGAAAACACATTTATCCTTCAATAAACTCTAACAGGATGACGTCATAATTCCTAATTATCGGGCCGATAATTATCGTGCACCACTAATAAATACATAAAAACAGACAGGACATGAAACAAATGTAATACACGAGACAATGAAACCAGATCAGAAGCCACCGACTGAAAAACTCTCCTACATGACATAAAAACAATACAAAACACTAGTAAGATAAAAACCCAAATTTAAAAGCACAAGTGTCATACCTGGCCTGCAAATGCCAGGGAAAAGAAGTGGGTTTTTAAACGAGATTTAAAAACAGGCAGAGTTGGAGCAAGTCTAACCTGGAGGGGCAATTTGTTCCATAACTTTGGAGCTGCAACAGAAAAGGCTCTGTCTCCTCGCTGCTTTAACCTCGATTTTGGGACGACCAGAATGAGTCTGCCAGCAGACCTCAGTGACCGTGTGGATGTGTATGGTTTTAAAAGATCTGCCAGGTACGGTGGGGCTAAACCGTTTAGGGCCTTGTATGTGAACAGTAACATTTTAAATTGTATTCTAAAATTGACTGGTAGCCAGTGTAACGAGGCGAGTACAGGCGTAATATGTTCACGTCTGCCGGTCCTTGTAAGGAGGCATGCAGCAGCATTCTGGACCAGCTGTACGTGTGACAGGGAAGCCTTGGTCACTCCAATATACAGAGCATTGCAGTAATCCAGTTTAGTTGATATAAAACAATGTATTACTTTCTCAAAGTCATTAAAAGAAAGGAAAGGCTTGACCTTTGCTAAAAGTCTTAGCTGAAAGAAGCTGGATTTTACCACAGAGTTGATCCGTTTGTCTAGTTTAAAATCACAATCAATCCGTACACCCAGGTTTGTGACAATGGGTTTCACATATGGGACAAGAGAATCCAGCACAGGCAGGGCATTGGGGCCACCACTGAGTCCAAATATTATGACCTCTGTCTTTTTTTCATTGAATTTTAAAAAGTTCAAGGCCATCCAGGCTCTGATGTCCTGCAGACAGTCAGATAGGCGTTGCTGAGGGTTTGGGTAATTTATTTTCAGGGGCATGTAGATTTGCGAGTCATCTGCATAAAAATGAAATGAGACACCATATTTCTTAATGATAGCGCCCAGGGGGAGCAGGTACAGGGAAAATAAAATCGGCCCAAGAACGGAGCCTTGGGGTACCCCGTATGGAAGAGGAGCAGAGGAGGAAGTAAATTCATTAAGATTTACATTAAAACTTCTTTCAGACAGATACGACTTAAACCAGTCTAGAGCAGTACCACTGATTCCCACAAAATGTTGCAGGCGAGAAATGAGAATACTGTGATCTCCAGTGTCAAAGGCAGCTGTCAGGTCTAAAAGTATAAGAACTGTTCCCAGAGTCAGTAGCTAAAAACAGGTCATTAAACACGTTTAAAAGAGCAGATTCAGTGCTGTGGAGGGGTTTGAACCCAGACTGGAATACCTCAAGAATGCCATGCACATTTAAGAAGGACTGCAACTGCTTCAGTACCACTTTTTCTAAAATGTTGGACATAAAAGGAAGTTTAGAGATAGGTCGAAAATGGTCAAAAACAGAGGTGTCCAGGTTTGTTTTTTTAATCAAAGGCTGGACCACAGCATGTTTTAGGCACTTTGGTACTTTTCCTGTAGTCAGGCTGCTGTTAATTATATTAAGAATGTTAAGTCCAACAATGTCCCAGATTTCTTTGAAAAATCGCGCAGGGACAACATCGCTTGGAGAAGGGGGTTTCAATTGAGCAACAATTTCTATTGGAGCAGGAAGTGACACAAGCTCAAACTGATCCATAGCAGCTGAGCAAGGCCCATTCCCAAACTGCCCCCTACACCCTACCCCAACCCCTTCCCCTCCGTTTGCGCGTTCACACGCAGGGTAGTGTTAATTTCGTCAGCTATTTTTTTATTTAGTTTTAGTCTTAGTCCTGTGTTAAATTTCCTTTTTAGTTTTAGTCATATTTAGTCACCTTCATCCTGTTTTTATTTAGTCAAGTTTTAGTCGACTAAAAGTCTGAGCATTTTAGTCTTATTTTAGTCGACTAAAACAGTAAACATTTTAGTCAAGATTTAGTCGACTAAAATTCTGAGCATTTTAGTCTTATTTTAGTCAAAGAAAACTAATTATTTTAGTCTACTTTTTGTCAATGAAAACTGTTGAGTCTTTTTTAGACATCAGATTATATAGATCATTTCAGTCAAACTAGTCTAGCCAAAACCAATAATTTGTCCTTTTAGTCAAACGTATTTCACAATAAGATTATATCTTGTCCTTATTTGATGAAAAACACAGGTTGAATTATTAAGAAGCTTTGCAGAGAGTATCTGGTCAGGTTTGTGGTGTTTTTACCTGTGTTATGGCCAAATTGCTTCCCTTCTGATAAAACAATGCATTCGCTTTTTTTCTCCGCCTCATTGTAGCGAAAAAGGGCCCAAATATCACATTGTTTCTTTCTCCCAAGCAGTGGTGGCTTTAGACTTTTTCGTTGTCAGTCATTTTGACGGACAGGATCGTAACATTTCCGTCATAATCCATTATTACCCGTCAGGGCCGGACTGGGACAATAAGTCAGGCCGGAAATTATACACCCAGCCAGGCCACTACCAGTTTTCTTTTATGCCATTTTCCTGGATTTATTTGTCAATATTTACAGCGTTGCTGCCCATAGTGATAGCCCTAAACTTTAAATCTACTACCCCAGAATAAACATATGGACATGGGTTACTATTTAAAAAAAAATTGCAAATCTATTTAGGAACCTATCCATGTGAACATATTTTAAGTGGAGGTGGACCTCAATTCCTCTAGGGGGGTCCGGGGGCATGCCCCCCGCCTGTAAGATATTTTTTTTTTTTTTAAATGTTGGACTTAAATGCATCAATCTGGTGCACTTTGAGGGGGAAATAAAGAGACTACACCCATATGAAACAGAACTGTATACATTTAAATACTCATAAAATCATAAGAACATGGCCATAACCAATAACATACCATATCCAATATCAAAAAACATTGAAACTTGTTTATTTATTTGTTTTTGGTTCATTTATAGTTGTGAGTGTGTCTGGCCTCCTAAACCAGCCTCACTCGTCTCCCCCTGCTCCTCTTTGAGGCAGCAGCAAAGACTAGTTTTAGCTCTCAACAAGTTTTTTAAGTTGATCTTACCTTTTTTCACCTAGTTAATTTTTTTTAATTATTATTCATGCATATTTTACTCATCACTCCCCTTTCAAATGGAAATATGTGTTTACATAAATGATGACCAAACCGTTTGAGACCCACTGAGATAACTCAGACTAAGTTAACTATCTAAACACTCCTTTACCTCACCTGAGCTGTAGTTATCAGTCTCTCAGTCTGACAGGAGAGGACTCTCCTCCACCTTGTTGACAGTCAGCTCATTATATCCATTAGCGCCGCAAGCTAGCACCAGATGCTAACAACAACAATACACGTAACCGGTGCGCGCGCTTTCTCTCTCGCACGCTCGCGCCCGCCACACATACACACCCTCCCGAGCTTGAATGAGAGACCAATCGAGGGCTTTAGTGTATGATCTGTATGAAAGTGGCCATGTCGGCAGGCCACATCATGTAGACAGCCAGTCACCTAGTTATTTAAAAAAAAAAATATTATTCATGCATATTTTACTAATCACTCCCCCTTCAAATGGAAATATGTGTTCACATAAATGGTGACCAAACCGTTTGAGACCCACTGAGATAACTCAGACTAAGTTAACTATCTAAACACTCAAGAGTCCTTTACCTCACCTGAGCTGTAGTTATCAGTCTCTCAGTCTGACAGGAGAGGACTCTCCTCCACCTTGTTGACAGTCAGCTCATTATATCCATTAGCGCCGCTAGCTAGCACCAGATGCTAACAACAACAAAACACGTAACCGGTGCGCGCGCTTTCTCTCTCGCACGCTCGCGCCCGCCACACATACACACCCTCCCGAGCTTGAATGAGAGACCAATCGAGGGCTTTAGTGTATGATCTGTATGAAAGTGGCCATGTCGGCGGGCCACATCATGTAGACAGCCAGTCACCCTCTGTGAGGCAGAGTCAGACCCACATTTGCGCAGCGTTGCGTTCACAATACATACATTAAAAAAAAAAATCCTCAGGCCAGCAGGCCACTTAACAGGCCAGGCCATCGGGAAACCTCCCGGTCCTCCCGATGGCCAGTCCGGGCCTGTTACCCGTCGAGTACACAATTTATCACTCACTCGCGCTGACGGGGGGTATTCGGTTAACGCGAGTGCGACCACTGCTCCCAAGCCCTGTTGTTGCCATTTTATTTTCTGTTAAATAAGGTTAGTTAAACCAGTGGTTCCCAAACTTTTTGTGCCCAAGGCACACCAAAGGACA